CATCTGCCTTCCACGCGAAAAATCCGGGATCGAATCTAGGCCGAGGACTAATTAATTTTTCATGTTTATTTTATTTTATAAATTAGTCAACTTCGTAAATTATTTTAAAATTATTTATTTTGTCTAAATAACCTAAAATAATTTTTTAAATTTGTAGATTTTCGTTAGTGGGTCATAGAAAAAATATACTGACCATATCGAGTAGATTGTTCATATCACAATCAGACGATTGAGTTCTCCGCCTACGACGTCGTGCTCAAACTTCGTCTTTGTGTGATATGGCTATCATATGCACCCTTGTTGAACAAACTACAATTTATTTGTTTTCTTGGTTTAAGTTTTACATCAGAAATAGGAATTAAATTAATTTACTTTTCAAGTTTTCTTGTAAAAATCGATATTACTTTCTCCAAGTACAAATTTAGTACCTACCTAAAATAAGTACTAATTATGTTATATCTTGTAATATTGTAATTCAAATTTCACATTACTATAAAGTTTTAAAATTTCCTACTTCGGTATGGTCAGATAAAAATTGAATATATTATATTAATAAAAACTGTCAAAGTATAACTTCTACAAATCTGTATTTCAAATAATAAGAATACATCTAAATATAACCAATATTGTTAAAACAAAAGCACACATTCTTTATAATTCCAAAATACCATAGAGTTCCCAGACCTCAGTCGAAGCATTCGTTTATCTAGGTATAAACCCTTTGCGCGAAGAGTAACACTTGCCAGAGACACGGGGGTACCACTTGATTTGCATCCACGAGCGTGACACAATTCTTTAACAATTGAAGCCCTTGGTGTAAAATGGATCCAAGCCACAATTTGTCGTGAAGTGACTGTTTTAGCTCAAAACATTTGTTAACGAGGATTTTACTAGCCATATATAAATTATTTTACCTCTAATCCGAAAGATGTGCTATTTTTCGTAATATTTATATTTAAATAATTTTTTTAATTATATTTGAAAGATTTAAAACAAATTAAAAATGTAATTTCCCAAAACTTACTTAATATAGCATGTGACCAACCTTATTACGCCAAGGTTTTCAATTTTTTCTATAATAAAAAAATTGTTTAATCCGGGCCCGACTTTTCCCTTGAATCTAACAGAGATAGCACCATTCCGTCTTGCTTGGTTCTCGACCGCCAGATCAAAGACGCCGACACGGAGTTGTGGAGCTGTATTGTATAAGCTGTGCTTAAACTGTATGTTGTACCTAATGTCATTATACAGGTTAATTCTCTATTTTAGAAATAAATGCGCTTGTAGAAAAAATGTTGATCGTAACACGTGATAGAAGCACTTGTTGCGATAACTACTATATTAAAAGACAAAAAATTAAAAAGCACGATCAACGAATTTATTTTTATTGAAACAAAAAACAAACATACAAATAGAATAATTAAATGTAGCGTGTTAATTAGCTGGAAAGTCAAGTTGCTTCATTTTCCACAGCGGTTGAAGAGTTTTATTTGGAACAAAAAATAAATATTAATAAACTTATAAAACAAATGAAAAAAGCGACTAAGTCATATTTTTGTCAAAATTGAACTAAAACCGCCCTATTTTGTAAAATACCAGTATGTTTCCATGTAATAAAACCAAATTAGCAAATGCAAAACAGTGCATTTAAAATTATGTCCAAGGACTTAGCATTTTTTTTTCTACCATTTATTTGGCACTTTCAGTATTTAGATTAAAAAAATTACAACTGTTTTTTTTAGTGATAAACTACAATATAATCAGGCAGCATATACAGTGTGTCCCCCTAAGTTGGAAAACTTTTTATTAATTTTAGGAAAAAAAGTTATTCTTCATAAAAAGTTCTGCATTATCTAAAATCTAGAATACAGTCATCAAATATCAAATTTTTTTAGTGGTATGCGAGGTTTGTCAAAAAATATGAATTTTACCCAGTAGTAAAGTACGTTTATTTTTGACAAAATCGAAAATTTTCATTAAGAAAATTGCTAAACTCTTCACAAACATTAAGTAAAGGAAAGCGTATCATGTGCTAACGTAATTTATAACATTTTCAGATATTTACAATCAATGTATAGAAAAGTTTATAAAAAATAAGAAAATCTCTTTTTTCAGATAGATCGGTGTAATTGCATATTTGAATGTAATTTTCAATTCTAATCAACTTTTCTTAATGAAAATTTTCGATTTTGTCAAAAATAAACGTACCTCGCATACCACTAAAAAAAATTGATATTTGATGAGTGTATTCTAGATTTTATATAATGCAGAACTTTTTATAAAGAATAACTTTTTTTCCTAAAATTAATAATAAAAAAGTTTTCCATATGATTCCAACTTAGGAGTACATACTGTATACAAAGTAACATCTTTTTGCAATCAATTACCTCAAAGTATCAAAAGTTTGTTTTTAGTCAGTCTAAATTAAATTTGCTTTCTTGAACATTTTGGTAATTGTGACTTGGTCCCTTTTTTTCCTGCACCCTTTAAATATTTTAGGAAGCACAGAAAGTAAGGCATGAATAAAAATGGTATTACTTCCCTGATTAAGCTATTTTGTCTTCCACAATACAATACTGCCACTCCAAATGGCTTAAAGAAAGTTTGTACTGGAACAAATAAAAAATACAGTTAGACCTCTGTGAGTACCAGGAACTCAAAACTTATCTTCAAAATGTTTATCACATACTAAATATTTTTACAAATTTGTTGTGTTGTTTTATTATTGAAAAACGGACTGTGGACAGCTAATACCCAAATTTTAAATAAATCGTTATTAGAATCGAGTCTGGGAAAACGATGCCTTTTCAGAGTGTTTACAAAACAACACGACATATTTAATCAAAAAATCAACATATTGAAAACTAAAAACACAGTTTAACAAAACTAAATTGACAATACTATAAACAATAATTTACAAAATACTTACTATTTATTCATCCAGAATCCAGGACACTCCCAAATACAAACAATTAAATAATACTAATTGGCAATATTATGATATTGACATTGACATTGACAAATGACAAATGACACCACTCTTTCCACCATCAATTGTAGATTTCTGCAAATTGTGTGTACAGCACCACGAGTGCTAATTCTTTTAAACTAAAACATGGTTTTAGATCGGACTATACCTGCTGAGCTTTTAAAATCACTTTCGTTTATAACTCTGTTGCTTTCGGCTTCACCGCAGATGTTTGTCGACGAATTCATAGTATTCATAATTGTACTGCACTTAAGACAGAAAGTGGTTAGTTAAATCTTCAAACATACACTGTACCCCACAACGGCGACTCCAGGGGGCCCATGGGGACCATACACGGGAGTGTATGGGGGGCCGAGAAGAAAATTCTTACGATATATAGGCCTTTTATTAAAAAAAATGCTGAAAATGGAATATCTAATGGCAATGCCACCCTCCCCCCGAAAATTCGTCTTGGAGCCGCCCTTGGTACCCCACACCTGAAGTTTGTAGTAATTGGGTTGGCTTCAAGCGAGTTGTTGAAATAAATGTTTTATATATTCATACATCTGTTTATGGTTGTTTAATTTAAAATTAAGTAAAACATTAATTAACATAAAAGTTATTACACCGCATCATAAACAAAAATCGTAAGGGAAGAATTGAGGTTAGCTTGTCTCTTCTCATTCCATTCTAAGTTCTTAAGGTTGCCTGTAACTATTTAGTAATCAGTAACAAGATGATGGTATTTACTACAATATTTAGATCAGACATCAGATCCTTAAACCTAAACAGTCAAACTGAGATTACGTGTATTCTCATAGCAAAAATAAATTACCAGAAAAAATATCACTGGAAAGACCATGCTCATCTATACAGATAACAGACATGCAATACTTACCCTGGACAGACCACGAATTTACTGAGGCTTAGTACTAGAATTTCACTAAAACTTGGTGGAAGTATCTATCAACAATGTGGTGACCTTCAGAAGAATTAAAGGCCATGCCACATCGAAGGGTAACGTCTTGCCAATTAACTAGCCAAGAAGACTACTTTTTGGATATGGCCCTTGTATTGAACTATGTCGTGACAAACAAAAAATTATTTTTCCCCTGTGAAATTTAAGGAAAGGTGGGATGAAACAAGAAGCTGCAGAGTTGAAAGGGAGTTTTTAAATTACTCTAACATAATTCCAGCAAACAAATACTTAAGTATGACTAGACGGAATCTGCCTCTGAACACAGTCTGACTGGTCATTTCCGAGTACGGAAGCACCTCTACATCATGGGGCTGTCAAACTCTGCACTTTGCGAAAGGCATGAACAAAATGAGTCTATCGTGCATCCTCTATGATTGCCAAACGCTCTCTATCAGTATATTAATGTTTCTTCCAGAAACAGATGTATTCAACATAATTCAAGGAGCTCTAAACGGGTTATGAGTTAGTGCAAGAGGAAACCTTTCTCTGTAAATCCCCGAAAACCATTGTGATTCCCTTTGGAAAGAGAGGAAAATTTGTAAAGCTCCGTCAACCCACTTTGGATAAGGAAGATCATTCTTCTTGAACTTATTCTAGATAAAAAAATTCATCTGGAACTTCCAACTTTAGAAAGCACGCAAAATATAATTTCTCGGGATTCTCAGTAAACTAGTTTGTAAATCGTGGGACATAGATCCAGAATTGATATAATGTTTGAAGGATTCTCTTTTTTGGTTGGTATAAGAACAAAACTATCTTAAATGAACAAAACGACTTTTTTATTTTGTATTATTTCTAAAAAAAGTTGGCTGAATTTGTAAAACTACTCCATCGATACAGGTGTTTGAAACGCAAGATGAAATTCTTGGAATGCATTAGAATTAATATATTTTTTTTATAGAATTATTTAGGAAAGATTATGAAATTTGCATATACTAAAAAAGGTTCAGTTACAATGTATTTTGAACAATCTAATTTATTTTTATCTTTGTTATTTAATTATATAATTAAGATTTATGTTCTTTACTGTCATTAATAACTTTATTTTTATAGGAAACAAGCGATGTTCAACCTGATTTTCCAATTATTTACGAAATGGATATCAATTCCAACGTATCTAATCGTTTCGCTAAAACTTTAATACACAGCAAAGTGAAAAATCCACAAACCACAGCTAAAGAAGCTACTTTCTCCGTCGTACTTCCAGAGAAAGCGTTTATTTCCGAATTCGTAATGGAAATTGGAGGAAAAAGCTACAAAGCGTACGTAAAAGAAAAGGAAGAAGCTAAGAATATTTATGATAAAGTAAGTTATTATCGAAGTTATTACACATTTTCATATTTATACTAGTTGGAACCTATTTTATAAAGAGCAAGTGAGACAAAGTATTACAGTCAGCAATGGAAGAAAACAGAACTTTAAATTGAATTTGGGGGTATTTTAATAGAAACATTTTGTTAAATTACACTGCAACCGTTTGAGCTACAGACATGGTTATACGAGTTGTAGCATAAACTACTATTATACAATTTTTTTTAATTTTAAATTAGGTATTGTAAATACATATTGTATGTACGTATTGTAAATACATATTACTAACCTACCCAATGAAACGCTGCACGCTCATAGCGATCAAATACAAAATGGCACAACTGTGCACTAAAACACGAAAAATTTAACGTTTTTTTTTATAAAAATATCGAATTTGACAGATAACTAATGTAGTACCTATACAATTTTAATATGGGCTATTTTAAGTTTTAAGAAAAGCAGAGGTGAATGCTCTACGATGTTTTTCCAATCTATAAAATTCCATAGGAATCCAACTTTATGAAACACACTGTATATGCCATATGTCCGTATTTAGGGAAGATTAGTCAATTTATTTAACATCTTTCAACAAAAATTCGATGATTAAAAATGTTTTTAGGCTGTCTCTAGTGGTCAAAGTGCTGCGCATGTGTCAGTTAGTGCGAGACATTCCAACAGATTCACTGTCTCTATAAACATAGAACCAGAAGCCAAGGCAGCATTCTTATTAACCTACGAAGAACTTTTGGAAAGAAAAAATAACCAATACGAATTGATCCTAAACATCCATCCTGGACAAATTGTTAAAGATTTAAATGTTCAAGTATGTTAAAAATTACCTTGTTTAAACATTCTTATTTTTCAAAAATTAACATTTATCTATTTTGTTTAGGTAAATGTCAAAGAATCCAGACCATTGCTTTTCATCAAAACGCCATCTTTGAGATCTGGTAATGAAATCAACAAGAATGAAGAAAAGATCGATCCATCTTCACAAATCGAAATTATCAATAAAACAAGTGGCGTTGTTACTTTCCATCCAGACGCAGCAAAACAAAAAGACTTTGCCAACCAACTAAAAGGAAAAGAATCGGAAGGTTTATCTGGACAGTTTGTAGTTCAATATGACGTTGAAAGAGATCCTCATGGTGGAGAGGTATAGCTTTAGCTCCATATTTATCAGCACCCCTTCATAACTCACCTTTATTGCAAATACGAAATACGAGTTGTTATCATATTGATGTTTTAGGTTTTACTCCAAGATGGTTACTTCGTCCATTTTTTTGCTCCCAAAGATACAGAAACTCTTCCCAAGAACGTCTTCTTCATTTTGGATACTAGTGGTAGTATGAGCGGCCTAAAAATAAAACAATTAAAGGACGCTATGATCAGTATATTGGGAGAGATGAAACCTGAAGATACCTTGAGCATCGTGGAGTTTAACAGTCAAACTACTGTTTGGAATGTCGAAGGACAACCTGCTGTCGAAGTTATTTACCATAACTACACTGATCCCTTCCCAGAAATCAGCGTAAGTTAACTTTCATAACTTGGACCTCCACTTTTGTCAACGGGTTAACACTTCCAGGTTTTTTATTTCAATCAAACAATTTTTATTTCAGAAACATGATTTGCCAGGACCTCTGCCAGCAACTAAAGAGGTAATCGAGAAAGCTAAAAATCTTATAAATGGCATGGGAGCTTCCGGAGGAACTTATATGATTGGAGGATTGGAAACTGGACTCTATCTAGTCAAAAGCCAAATCGCAAGAGCTGCTAGTACCAATGACAAGAAACAACCCATCATTATTTTCTTGACAGATGGTCAACCCAATTATGGCGTATATTCTACTGACGAAATAACTAATATTGTAAGTATGAGTATATTGGAGTATTTAATTTTATGTTTCGTTAGAAATACCTAATTAGTCAGATATTCCATGTATATTCTATTCTCTAATATTTTGCTCGTTAATGAAGGTTGATAAGAATCTTCTAATGGAATAAATAATGTCAGCATTATTGAATGCCTAATTCTGCTTCGTCTACGCGTGGATTCTAGCGCTTACGTTGGTCTCTATGACTTCTTCGCAGAACTTCCTCCATGAGTTTCTTTTAGCCTTGCGTACCTCTTTTTTATACTATGTGAGCTTATTTTTATAAGCAGTCCAGTTTTGTGTGAATTTGGCTGTGTTGAATAGCCTTCGCACCTCGCCTCGCAGTTTATTTCACCAGACTGTCTTCCTCGCTTGGCATCTCTCTTTTTCGGGACAGTTTTCTTGATACGCATGAGTATATGCCTTGTTTACCAATTCCACCGCCTTTTCGAGTGTTTTTATTTCTCGTACATTGGTGGTTTCCTCTTTGGGGGACTCTTCGAGAAATTTTAGGTAGATGCCCTTCGCAATTCGTTCCTCTCCAGTTTCTAAACCTGTCTGCTCCACGAGTTGGACATTGTATATGGAATCGGATATTATGTTTCTGATCTAAACACGATGTTTCATCGGATACCTGTCAATTCCTGATTTGGAAATTTGTGCCTCTCTATCATATGGTCATATCTAGCACTTCTTCTTCGTTGGCAGTGACAAAAGTTGGTTTATTGCCTTTATTCTTAATTTCTAACCCTTTACCTAGAGTGACTCGGCTCTTGGATTGACGTTGTTGCTTCCCCAAATAGTGTGGTGTGCATTCGCATCGCGTTCTATTATGAGCTTGAGTTTCTGCTCCTCGCAATGGCCAATGATTCTGCCTAGTATTGCAGGGGACAGATCATCTCTCCTGAGAAGTAGGCGGAGCATACAACATAGCACCGGTATTAGTGTACAATTAACCCTGTGGCTGTAAATTATGCATACGGTGGGTTTTTATTCCCTTTGATGTAAAATAATAGCTTACCTTGTGGTGATTTTTAATCGACTTCAAAAAAGGAGGAGGTTCTTAATTCGTCGCGATATTTTGTTTTATGTATGTTCAGCGATAATTCTTCAACACGGTGTCCGATTTCAATAATTCTTTTTTTGTTAGAAAGGGGGTACTTCAGGGGTGGTTCCATATAAATTTATAAATCTAATAATTGGATCCATGAGAAAATCCTCAAACTCTTCATTTTTTATGTATGTTTAGCGATAATGCTTTACCATCTTGTTTGATTTCTATGATTCTTTTTTTGTTAGTAAGGGGGTACCTCAAGGGTGGTCCCATGTAAAATTGGTTAAGATGTGGTGACGGCATCTGCACGTTTTTGAAGTCGGTTTTTTTAAATTTTTAATTTCTAATACTTATAGTCCGGTGACTTTTCCACAAGTCCCTGTAGGAGAGCTAAATCCAAGCCTTCTGTGTCGAACATCCTAGATACTATGGCTGCCTTAGCATGGTGGCCGTTCGCCTGTAGGACCTTTTTGTCCTGCTGTGGTTGATTTCCCTTTAGTGGTACAGATTTTTTGTTAACTTTCTGTGAAATTCCCTATTTTTCTTTTAACGCCTGAAGTTTAAGGTGTTTCTCTTTGCATTACTAATTTCTAAATCATTGCATGGAGTGCTAGTGACAACAGCAACTTTTCCGGTACTCATACTCCTTTTTCCAAATTGTTTTTTAATATAGAAGGAACAAGCATAATTTTTGCAGCAGTTATCTGTTTTTCAGAAGTTTTTTCCTAATATGGGGTACTCCAAATAAAATTATTTGTACCCCATATAAATAGCAAATGACTCATAGGTTAAGTTAAGTTTTGGTAAAAAAGCCACACAAATTTACGTAAACTACGCGAAATATATCATCGAATACTACCACACTTACTTAAAATACTTGCTAATACTTACTATTTAACTCACCTAAACACACGCAATTCATACAGCTTTAAATCTTGTGTTATATAAGCAATACTTTTAAACTAGACAGGTTACTACATGCGAAGTGAGTAAATAGTGAATAGTTAATGTAGAAATTGGGGGCTAAAGAGTTCCTGCCGATTATACACATTTTTTAAAATACGTCCTTGGTTGCCTAAATGTGGTGGACTGTATCAACAATTACATGTAAAGGCTTATTCCAATAATTATTATCTCTATTACCTTGTTTCACTGATTATAGATCTGCTGATTCGAAGTTAAGGTGGTTAATTCAAAGTTCACAAATTACCTAACTTTAAAACCATTTTAAAAATTCAACAGTATAGTATCACAAAACTATTAACCAATAAGTTTTGATTTGAAAAGTTGTAGGTAAGAATTCGCCTAAAAAACCATTCACTTGTTACTTGAGCTATATTGAAAAGCTGACCATACCGGTAAATGCCTAAGTGCATGGCATAAATGCTTCGAGATATAAATGTTTATTTAATGTGAGATAGACTTGTGTTTTGCGTATATCAGCAGTGACGGGACTGATACGATGAGCTGAATCGTTGTTGTCGATCGGCGAACCGGCGATGATGAGGTGAACTGATGATCTCCTTAGAGGAACTGACGCTTCTATAAAGATGGGTAGTTCGCGAGCGAACTATTAAAATAAACTATTTATTTGTTCAATCTAAATGAACTAGTTCGAATGTTTTAAATGAACTAGTTCACTAGTTCGACTCGAATTTTATGTGCAGCGTTTGGATCGTTGTTAAAAATATATATTGAGAAAATAACGAAGAACGAGAACTAACATGACGTAAGTACGTACGTTGGTCGCTCTTTAATCGGTATTGTAATGGTTCCGTTCGGTTATCGTAACGTGTATGAAAAATTTAGTATTGATTATAATTACATTTTAATTTAGCAAGGTGTGTTTACCACTAACATGCCGTCGAATGTTTCCAAGACATCCACCTAAGATACCAATTAGTTGATCGCCGTAGTTAGAATTCGCCTTTTGGTTTTCTTTTGGTTCAAAATGTTCCCATAAAACACAAATACAGTTTATTCATATTGACACTAAATAAAATTGTATTTTACTCCACTAAACACCAACCAGTCTAACCGAACTTAACTAATAAAGTTAAACAAATTCTTTTTAACTATATTACTGAATGAACTAATAAACTAGAAGTTGCGAAGAACTAAAACATAATAAAAACAACTGGACATTCAGTTCCGTTTAACACCGCGGGAACTACTGGCGTGCAAGCGCTACGCGCACGCTCCGCTTTCCCTATTGGGTCGGTAGTGTAGCAGCCTAACGCGCTTATATTCATTTATAGGCAAGCCTATGGTCCGAGACTGCCGGGCTTCGAATCTCAGATCAGACCATGTGGATTTTTAATTAAATTGCATGGTTCGGTATAGGATTTGATGTGTGCCGTATAAATAGAAATTCAATTTCTGTTGATATGACATGCAGATTATAAAAACGCCATGCATTACCGTCTCGATGATGGTGGGTGAGGTTTTTCGGGTTTTCCTCACCTGTAAGTCAAATGGCACCATCAATCATCTTTAAGTCGCCCTGGAGCACCACGGCAAATAATAATAATAATGGCTGTCCCTTTCCCCGCACAGGCTCAGCTTTTGGGGTTAAAATTCACTCGAAAGGGGGTGAATTAGGGAGAGTATTATTATTATGATCAGTTAAAATATAAGTTCGTTCACAAACTAGTTCTTTGAACTACTTCGCGCAAGTGAACTAGTTCTCTGAAAATAGATAATAATTAAAAAAAAAGAAGAGTTTTCATATCTATGCCTCTAACTAAAATTAGCATCGTGTCGATCTTTATATCCAACAGTTATTCGAATGATCTGAAAGCTTGATCACATTACCTTTTTAAAGCGGGACAATATTACTTTAGAAGTTGTAACTGCTTTTTGTTTAAAAAATCGTTTTAGTGCTAAAACAGACGACACTCGACGAGGCTCTTCGTCGTGTCGTCTGTTTTAACTCATTTCATTGGTATAAAGGATAGGTCGAAGTCGGCTTTAGCATTTATTGTTTGTACGCGCGAGAGATAAAGAAAGATGCATGACATAACCAATATGTTTGTTTTTTATGGAGCTTCTAGTTAATTTGACGAGACAGAGACGGTCCATTATTTTTGTATTTTAATTAATTGATTGGTTTGGCACTCAAGGCTGATACATAAAATGAAATATATTAGATGTATTTCCAACAGTTATTACTTCAGATGGTTGTACTACTTAGCAATTGGCCAAAAACAAGGAACCCCATTTAGGAACTATCCTCATACTAATCTCATTTTCTTTACAAATTGCTCCCAACGTTTTCGATGGGTTACAAACTGGGCTACAAAGCTTAAAAACTTCATTAGTATCTATGGAATTAGCATCGGTTTATTTTGATTGTAAATCTTAGGGTTGTTATACTGTGCCAAATCTACAGACATTCTAGCATGAATCTAGCAGAATTAACCAGCACTGAAAATTAAAAAAAAAAAACACTGTTTTTCAGGTTACCCGTTTAAACAAAGATGAAATAAACGTACCCATATTTTCCTTATCGTTTGGAGAAGGAGCAGACAAGGCCTTTTTGAGAAAACTCTCCCTGAAAAACATGGGATTTTCCAGACACATTTACGAAGCTGCAGACGCCTCACTTCAACTTCAAGAGTTTTATAAACAAATTTCGTCTCCTTTATTATCCAACGTTAACTTTAAGTACAACTATGAAGTGAATGAAGTTACTAAAACTAAGCATCCAATTTTGTTCGGTGGTGGTGAACTTGTCGTCGTAGGAAAATATAAACGTAAGGAGCAACTACATCATTACTCTTTAATACTCTGTCAGAGGCTGTACAAAAACTAACTATATTTTTCCAGTTCCAGATCGTCTTCCTGTTCCCAAGTTTGATGCTAAAGTCGACGCCATTGGTCGCAGAGGTCCAATACAGCTGCTTGCCAAAGTAGAAACTCCAGTAACTTCTTTAGAACGACTTTGGGCGTATTTAATGGTAAAGCAAACTTTAGAGAAAAGGGACGTGACTGACGACAAAACGGAATTGACTAAAAAAGCGTTAGACTTGGCTCTGAAATATTCTTTCGTAACCGATGTCAGTTCTTTGGTTGTAGTGAAACCAAACGCAACTAGTGCAGTTGACACCGAAGATGCTTCTAGTAAGTAGAACAAGTATTCGTAAGGTTTTGAAATTTAGATAATTTGGCGCCGATAGTTTGATTTGAATTCGACCATAATTTGATTATATCTTGTTTTACAATTTTTTCGTCCTATAGCTGTAGCAAAAAAACAGTTGTACATCATTCTACCTTCTGTTCTTTAATTTCTATTGGATCGCTTTTTTATTCATTACAAAATTCTGATTCTAAAATGTGGGCAGAATAACTAGAACAGGATTTGAGACAGACTTCAACAAGATTTGAATGGACCACAAAAAGATTTAGAGTATCATAGATTTAAACAAGATTTTGATGTGGCTTCTATATCGTTCAAAATCTTGAAAAATATTTGTAATAAAAATAAAGACCTTCTAAATTCGTAGATATGTTTGTCGGTATTAGGTGAATTTCTTTGTCTTTTTGGTTTGTTGTAAATGCAGAAAAACCAATTACTTACCTAAAGAGTAAAATTCCTAAATAAAATACCACAAATAATAACGGTATTATTACTTGTATTAAAGTTAACCACTAACAAAAAATAAGAAAGCATTCGCATCGATAAAAACCATCAGCGATTAAACAAAAACGAGACAACGAAAAAAACTGCAAAATGTCATTTGTCACGTCACTCATTACTATTCTCCTTTTTGTTTTTGTTTGAAAATTCCTCTGATCGTAAGATTATTTGTAAAACAAATTAAAATTTTGAAATATTCTTTTATTTAACATCTCTATATTATTTGCTATAATGGCTTTTTGAATATTCCCAAAATATTATTTTTAGTACCTATATTATTAAATAGTCCATGAATATTCTCTAAATAACAGTCATAGAATAATCCGCAATCACCTGTATATTCCAATAACATTCTTAATATATTCGGAATATACAGTGTGCATGTTGTCAGAATATCTAGTGCTATTTGAAAAGGAACGTTCTCAGTGATCTTTTGAGACATGTTTTCTACAAGATTTTAATTAAATATTAATTATTTATGCTTTGAGATAACCGCTAAAAACCCTAGATATTACGCTGTGTAATAAGGCGTACATTTTATTTTTATAACTGTGTTTATAATTATTGCAACTAACAATTAAATATTTACTTTTTAGAACCAGTAAGACCATCCTGGGGATATGGAGGTGGATATTCTGCACGTAAGTAAAAATAATATTTGTATAAAAAAATGCAATGTAGTCTAAATGAATATTTCAGTTAATTTTATAATATTACAGAGATTAAAAAACCACTATTATTGTACTGTAAAATTTTCGATCTCTACACACTGGCTATAAATAGGCAAGACAACACATTAAACTCGTTACCGCTTCTAATCTAGTAAGTGCGTGTCAAACAGAGCTGTATCTAATCTAAGAATGACAATTGTGTATGTTACCTGTTGGCAATGTTATCAAATAGTTGTACTTTCAAATTATATTTTTAATAACGGAGAAAAAATAATTTCTTTTCCGCTGTCAAAAGATTGGTATTGTAATGCAAGCCATTTTCGACCAGTCCGCTCATGCTTTATTCCCTTTAGTCCCCTCTCTGTCTTGTTTGGGCCTTTCACATATGGGTATAAATTACCTGCGTTTGCTGTTATAAGAGAGTTCAAGTTTAGATATCGATGTGAGCAGATTAATATTGGTAATATAAATTATTATTGGTAATATAAATTATTATATTAGTGGCTGAAATAATTTGAAAATTCCGTAACAAATCTCAACAATCCCCCTACCAATCATTAAAACCATCTCCGGACCCCACAGGTGAAAACAAATACTTTGGAAAAACTGTCATCGCCAGTGGTCGAACCCAGACTGTCGAGATTCCGAAACGGAAATTTAAAGTGCTAGTTCTAGCCAAACGACATGCAAGTTCTTTCTCAAATCTGCAAATACCTCCAATACAGCATCGGTGTATAAGAGATGAATTGATGCATACTGAGCCCATATTTTCGTCTGCGTGAGTTAAGTTTTTAATGTACGTTAAGAGACGTAAACCTGTGTATGAAAATTGTGAATTTATTATTGAAAAATCGCAAACAGAAATATCAGTATATTTGAAAAATAAATGGCTGAGATAGTTTGATAATTCGAAGACCATCCACGGACCACAAACGTAAAAAAAAACATTTTTATAAGTAGTCCAGTCTTGTGTAGATTTGGCTGTGTTGAATAGCCTTCGCACCTCGCCCCGAAGGCTATCTAAGTGTTTATTTCACCACACAGTGATCAGTAATTGCCTTGTTAACCAATTCCACCGCCCTTTCGAGTGTTTTTGTTTCTCATACATTGGTGGTTTCCTCCTTGGAAGACTCCTCGAGGGATTTTAGGCACATTTCATAATTCATCCCTCTCGGATTTCTAAATATGTCTGTTGTACTAGTTGGACATTATATATGGAATCGGATATATCTATAATCTAAACACGATGGTTCATCGGACACATGCCAATTTCTAATTTGTTAATTTGTGCCTCTCGATATGGTCATATTTGAAACTTCTTTGCGGTTGGCAGTGACAAAAGTTGGTTTGTTGCCTTTATTGGCAATTTCTAAGCCTTCACCTAGAAATTTTAATAGTGACTCACCTCCTGAATTGACGTTGGCATGTCCCCAAATAGTGTGGTGTGTATTCGCATCGCATCCTATTATGGGCTTGATTTTCTGCTCCTCGCAATGGCCAATGATTCTGCCTAGTATTGCGGGAGGACAGACCCTCTCCTTTTCTGGGAAGTAGGCGGAGCATACAACATAAAATCGCTGGTGCAAAGCACAAGCATCGGTATTAGTGCTCAATTAACACTGTAGCTGTAGATTATGCAAACGCGGGATTTTTCATTCCCTTTGCTGTATAATAGTAGCTTACCTTGTTGCGATTTTAGTCCGGCGACTTTTCCACAAATAAGTCCCTGTAGGAGAGCTATATCCAAGCCTTCCGTATCGAATGTCTTAGATACTATGGCTGCCTTAGCATGATGGACGTTCGCCTGCAGGATCTTTATGCCCCGCTGTGGTTGATTTCCCTTTAGTGGAACAGATTTTTTTTTTGTTGACTTTCTGTGGAATTCCCAATTTTTTCTTTTAACGACTAAAGTTTAAGGTAAGTTTCTCTTTGCCGTACTAATTTCTAAATCATTGTATGGAGTGCTAGTGACAACAGCAACTTTTTTGGCATTCAAACTCATTTTTCCAAATTGTTTTTTAATATAGACGGAACAAGCACAATTTTTGCAGCAGTTATCTGTTTTTCAGAAGTTTTTTCCTAATATGGGGTACTCCAAATTAAAAAATTATTTGTACCCCATATAAAGAGCAAATGACTCATAGGTTAAGTTTTGGTAAAAAAGGGACTTATCTAAAAGCCACATAAATTTGCGTAAACTACGCGAAATATATCATCGAATGCTACACTTACTTAAAATACTTGCTAATACTTACTATTTAACTCACCTAAACACACGCAATTCATACAGCTTTAAATCTTGTGTTATATAAGCAATACTTTTAAACTAGACAGGTTACTACATGCGAAGTGAGTAAATAATGAATAGTTAATGTAGAAATTGGGGGCTAAAGAGTTCATGCCGATTATACACATTTTTTAAAATACGTCCTTGGTTGCCTAAATGTGGTGGACTGTATCGACAATTACACGTAAAGACTCCAATAATCATTATGTTTATGTTTATAATTATTACAACTAACAATTAAATATTTACTTTTAAGAACCTGTAGGACCATCCTGGGCATATGGAGGGGGATATTCTGCAAGTAAGTAAAAATAATATTTGTATAAAAAAATGCAATGTAGTCTAAATGAATATTTCACTTAATTTTATAATATTACATAGATTAAAAAACCACTATTATTGTACTGTAAAATTTTCGATCTCTACACACTGGCTATAAATAGGCAAGACAACACATTAAACTCGTTACCGCTTCTAATCTAGTAAGTGCGTGTCAAACAGCTGTATCTAATCTAAGAATGACAATTGTGTATGTTAACTGTTGGCAATGTTCTCAAATAGTTGTACTTTCAAATTATATTTTTAATAACGGAGAAAAAATAATTTCTTTTCCGCTGTCAAAAGATTGGTATTGTAATGGGAGCCATTTTCGACCAGTCGGGTCATGCTCTATTCCCTTAAGTCCCCCTCCCTCTCTTGTTTGGGCCTTTCACATATGGGTATAAATAACCTGCGTTTGCTCTTATAAGAGAGTTCAAGTTTAGATATCGATGTGAGCAGATTAATATTGGTAATATAAATTATTATTGGTAATATAAATTATTATTGGTAATATAAATTATTATTGGTAATATAAATTATTATATTAGTGGCTGAAATAATTTGAAAATTCCGTAACAAATCTCAACAATCCCCCTACGAATTATTAAGACCATCTCCGGACCCCAAAGGTGAAAACAAATACTTTGAAAAAACTGTCATCGCTAAGGGTTAAACCCAGACTTCCACGGTTTGCGGACGTGCATCCTTACCGTTAGACTATCAACGACATTGACTGTCGAGATTCCTAAACGAAAATTTAAAGTGCTAGTTCTAGCCAAATGACATGCAAGTTCTTTCTCAAATCTGCAAATACGTCTAATACAGCAACGGTGTATAAGAGAAATTCATTGATGCATACTGAGCCCATATTTTCGTCTGCGTGAGTTAAATGTTCAATATACGTTAAGAGACGTAAACCTGTATATTAAAATTGTGAATTTATTATTGAAAAATCGCAAACCGAAATCCGAAAAATCAGTATATCTGAAAAATAAGTGGCTGAGATAGCTTGAAAATTTGAAGACCATCCACGGACCCCAAAGGTGAAAAAAAACCTGTCATCGCTGGGGGTAGAACCCAGACTTTAACGTTTGCCGGACGTGTATCCTTAACGTTAGACTATCAACGACATTGACTGTCTAGATTCCTAAACGGAAAGTGCTAGTTGTAGTCAAACAACTTTCAAATTTCGGTTTAGGAACGTCGATAGTCTAACAGCAAGGATAACGTTCGGAAACGTGGAAGTCTGGGTTCGACTACCAGCGATGACAGTTTTTTTTTTCAAATCTACAAGTATTTGTTTTTACCTTTGGGGCCCGGGGATGATCTTTATAATTCATAGGGGTATTATTGAGTTTTGTTTCCGAATTTTAAAAGTATTTCAGCCACTTTTTAATAAAATAATGTATCGTTCTGATGTTCATAACCTCAATCTACGTTTTTGTGGTCGTATCTCACCTCCAATACATAATACTGCTATTTTCAGACGGTCTTTCACTTATAATATTTATGCAATGTACAAGGTTATCCCACAACATTTTAAAGAAATGTCTGTAAGTAAATTTAAAAAATGTTACAAAAAGTTTCTTCTTGACACAGCAGAGTGATAGCTACTTTTTAGAATGTTTATACTTTTTTTTCTCACTATCATTTGTGTTTATTTTTATATTGTTTTTTGTACGATGTCCTGTGGCGTTGGTAATACTCAGGGCTGGTGCTTTGATCAGTATCCACTGTTCACCAGTCCTTTTTGCAGCCTTCTTTGGCACTTTTTTTTTTTCTGAATATTTTTATATGTATAAAAAACTGGAAGTTGCAAATAAAGTTTATTATTATTATTATTACTTATTTTTCAGATAAGCTGATTGTTTGAATTTCGATTTGCGATTTCTCGATAATAAATTCACAATTTTTATTATATACGTAAGTGTTTGATATATAAATAGTGTTGTATAAATACATTGAGTTAGTCACATTTTGTGAATATAAATTAAAATAAATAAACTGTTTAAATAAAGAAACGTTACACTATCTATCTCAAGAGCAAAAGTATCTTATTATACAAGAAACACGATCCAAAAGATACTGATACTAGGTGTATTGTGTATCCTCCTCAATTAGGCATTCCAACGACCTGACAAAATGCTGCCAGTGGGAACTGACAGTTTTGATATGGCAACCATGTGGGCCTGTTGTCATTGACAGGGTCAATGATACATATATAGCTATATAGATTGCTCAAAGCGGGTCGGATAGTTTACGAGCTGCCATATTGTCGGGCAAGTGTTCATTAATTTGAATCAGTCTAGCAAAAATATGCTTTAAAACTAATTTCCAGCCTTTCAATACATTAAAAAAAATATTACCTATATTACTTCAAGGATTAATATTTGTTTATTTTTAAAAACATGGATAATCAATTTATAAAGGGTGTTCCAACAAGAGTTTCCGGATGTTGATAATAAATAAAAGAAAACGTTTACAACATAAATGACAATTTTTTATTGCAATATGAAGTATAAATCTTTACAATTATACGTGGAATATAATATCTGGTAATTGGCCACCACGACTTCTCTGGCAGGAAACAATTCTTTTGTTGAAATTTTCCATAACATCTGAGCACATTTGTAGTGTTATCTCACGAATTATGCGTCGACTTCCTCTTTCAACTGTTGAACTGTTTGGCGATGTTTTCGTAAACTTTACTTTTTACATAACTCCACAAAAAATAATCCAGCGGCATCAAGTCGCATGATCTAGGTGGCCAATTTACCTCCCCATTTTTTGAGAAAATCCTCCCATCGAATCTTGCATGCAATAAATCCATCGTTTCTCTTGCTGTATGACATGTCGCACCATCCTGTTGAAACCACATATTGTTAAAGTCCATGTCCCTTATCTCAAGCCATAAAAAGTAGTTAATCATCGCTCGATATCGCTCCTTGTTTACCGTAACAGCTTGTTCGTTTTCATTTTCAAAATAGAAAGGTCCAGTGATACCTCCAGCCCAAAAACCACACCAAACCGTGACACATTGAGCTTGCATTGGCTTTTCATGGATTTGTCTAGGATTTTAATTGCCCTAGATGCGACAGGTTTGCTTATTTACGTAACCTCTCAAATTAAAATGGGCCTCGTCGCTTAAGATAATTTTGTTGTAAAAATAATCATCATCTACCTTCCTCTATAGGATCCAGTTAGCAAAATCACGGCGTTGAAGAGCCAAATCCTTTTTCAAAATTCGCCACGTTGAGGTTTTGCTGATGCCCACTTGCTGCGAACGCCTTCCAATAGACATTTGGGGATTATCAGCCACACTTTGACGAACATTTTCAATATTATCAACCGAGCGAGCTGGACGTTCACGCTGTTTTGTTTTGATATCTTGCACAGAACCTGTAGTTTCGAATTTACGCACTATATTACGAATGGTTCTTTCTGAGGGTGGATTTTGTATGCCAAAATAATCCCGAATTCGGCGATATGTAGCTATCACAGAAGACCGATTTTTAAAGTACGTTTTAATAACGTAAACTCTTTGTTCTACTGTGTACCGCGCCATTGCTAAACTTGTACTGGTTTGCAGAATGCAACAAAAAAAGAATACCACATAAAAAGTTTTTGACAAAAAAAGTAGCAAACAAAAATATTCGGAAACTCTTATTGGAATACCCTTTATAACTATCTATATCATTAACCCGGGATCCGGAAAATTGATCGCCCGCAATTGACCGCCAGCAATTATTGACCGCTAGCAGTTTACCGTCGTAGCAATTGATCGCCAAAGAAATTTATAGCCTACAATTGATCGCTAGTACATTTATTTACCGCCATATAATACATATACGTATTTATAAACATTTATTGGTCATTTTAAATTAAAAATATGTTTTTTTTTGAAGGTGTTGTTTAAAAATTAAGTAGTTATAGCTAAAAATGGAAGTTATTTACATGCTGTGTCTTAGATGGGTCTATATAAAGTTAAATTTAACTGCCATATGGTGGGGGGTGGGTTGGCTCAGTGGTTGGCCGGGATTTTTTCATTTAATTTAATTATTTAAAATTAATTCTGATACCTTGGTAGGATTCTCCACTCGACCATTCACTGTTGGGTTCTAATTAACAGTGCCGTTACTAAAGTGGCGCTGGGAAACAGTCACAAATCCTACACAGAACACGAGGCTAATGGCCGTAGTAGTCGACGCCAATGACACCGCCAATGACACCGCCAATGACACCGCCAATGACACCGCCAATGACACCTAATTTAAAAAAAAAAAAAAAAAAAAAAAAAAAAAAAAAAAAAAAAAAAAAAAAAACTACCATATGGTGAAAAAATTACACGTAGGAAATTCCGTCTGTGCAAATTCAAATAACAAAACAATTATCACGGTTTTATTGTTTTTAATTTAATTTACTCTGTCATAAAGACCACACAAAAGGCTTTTATGAAAAAATTTAAAAATAATTTAAAAATAATGTAAAGGGGGACGAAAAAAATTGAAAAAAGGGGAAAAAAGCTGAAAACACAACTTCCAAAAGATTCACTTTACATCTCAGGTATACAATTTTTGAATCGAATAATAAAGAATAATACAAAAATATGATAATATACAGGGTGTTCCATTGTAAAAAACATGGGGTGGCCATGGGGGGACAGAGTAGAAGTAACAAGGAGTGTACATAAGCAGAAAGACGTCCCCTTTTAAATGATTTTTGACTTATTTTCTTAGAAGTCTCAATTTAAAAAAAATTATTTAGCGTTTTCCTTGAAATTTCCTGTAAAATAACCAAATTTGAGTTCCTGTTTTTTAATAATTTTTTTCTACACTTACATGAATATTGGCTTATCTACGCACAGAATACAAAATGAAAAATTTATTGAGTTTAACGGAACGAATATATTACATATCAATTCTAGGTAGTGAGAACACTGCAAAACAATGAAATCAACCAATCACAGTTCATATTTTGGACACCCAACTACTATGTACTATTTTTAAAATTTTAAATAAGTGAAAATTTTGTCAAACTAAATTAAATTAAAAACAATAAAACCGTGATGATTGTTTTGTTATTTAAATCTTGCTCAAACGGAATTTCCTACGTGGGATTTTTCACCATATTATGGCAGTTGAATTTAATTTTATTTAGACCCATCCAAGACACTTAGCATATAAGTAACTACCATTTTTAGCTATAACTAATTAATTTTTAAACAACACCTTCAAAAAACCATATTTTCAATTTAAAATGACCAATAGATGTATATAAATGATTATTTTTTTCGTATAACTTTTAACCAATTAGAACGTTCAATTTAGTTAAGTTACCTCGTATAATTTCGATAATACCTGATTATACATAGAGTAGCTCCACCAATCAAAAATATTTACAATAATTTCATTTCCGTAGTAACCACATCGACAACAATACACTAACTAACAGGACCGTCAAATTTTGACGTTTATCAATAATTATTTTCATTGTACCAATATGTATTTAAATTAATAAATTGTTGATATTTACTTAATTTACTCAAAAAATAATCGTATCAAATACAATACGTACTTCAAAATAAATACGGTTATACATCTCAAACTTCCTGCATAATTACAAATCGTGTCAGTTTGACAGAATAATCCTCCCGCTTCGCGGTCGGATTATTTAAACTGTCAAACTGACACTCTTTATAATTATGCAACAAGTTATCGATGTATAACCTGATTATTTTGAAGTACTTATAGTATTACTACTGATTATATGTATTATATGGCGTTAAATGTGCTCGCGGTCAATTGTAGGCTATAAATTGCTTATGCGATCAATTGCTACAGCGGTAAACTGCTAGCGATCAATTGCTGGCGGTCAATTGCGGGCGGTCAATTTTTCTAGACCCCATTAACCTTGTCAAATCACCAAGCCCATAGTGTTGCCATAGCATAACCTGCCAGTGGCCTGTCATTACCTACGGGCAACCATTTTGTTTGGAATGCCTAATTGATAGGCATTTCTTAGATCATCAGTCCACAGATTTATTATTTATTGTCAAATCTGATAGGTGAGAGCGATGGGCATTCATCACATACTTTGATTAGGTACTATACGGTGCAAGAGATAGGTCCGACACGCCCAGCATAGGGCGCAGCCATTTTGATTCCTATGCCACAGTTTATAGCTAAAGAATCAGATCGCTCACTCTGCGTCGGCACTTTTGATCTCAATGTTCCAGTTTATACACTGCGCAACTTGGATAATACAATATATGACAATCACCTATAATAAAACAGCAGTCTTCTGCGTATTCTGAATTTGTATCCCTGGAGTGGATGTTATTTTGGAACTTTCAACTGGTCCGAGTGAGCTAACTGATTCTTTAGCAATAATAACTGTGACTCCAAAAATAATATTCACAGCAAGCAAAATATCAAGTGTGTTTTAATCATCCGCTTCTGCTTCCGAAATGGTCCGTTTAGTCGTTTTAACCTGTCAGATTAAAACAAGAAAACCGACAATTCCGAAGCAGAAGCGGATGATTAAAACGCACCTATTAAAAATATTGCGCCAAGATGTAGGCAACACGTAATAAGGGATCAAAATGGCGGAGTTTTCTATCTCCTATTAAAAGGCACTCAGAAATCAGCGCAGTGCGGCCATTCTCCGTATAGTAAAAGAAAATCAAAGTATGTGGCATTCATATTATTGTTGCCAAGGTAACTTAGACGTTCCCTAGCTGCTTTGCAGTTTCATACTACCTGTCCTTCAATTTTACAAGAGAACGTTAATTAATTAATTGTGTCGTGACCGATGTATAGATAGTCCAATGGAAAATTCAGGTCTAAAAATATTTATGTGCGTTCTTCGCAAGACAGTTACTTTTCGATGTGGCGTAGCCTTTGATCAATCTAATTGTTGATGGATTGTTTGACCAAAGCTTGCTAACATTCTAGTACTATCCGTAAGTAAATTCGTGGTCTGTTCAGAGTGAGTAGTGTTTGTCTACTATTTGTATTTATGAGCAAGCCCCTTCTAGTGATATTGTTTCTAGTAATTTCTTTTGCTGCTAGTAGAATCTTTCTGAGCTCAGTTTCATCTACACTGGTACTATTGCTCACAGCCTATTTTATGTTTAGTTCTAAGAATCTGGAGCATATTCCACATCTCGAGTTTTGTTTTAGAACCGTCGGTGCCGATATAAATCGTGTCTGTCACTTTGGATTCCTCTATATTTTTCAATAAAAACTTTTAGGACTTTTAGGACTTTTAGGAAAGATATATCTCGGTGAGATAGAGTCCAGGTTCGCTAGAAGCAGTGGATGCATGTCGAGCGCCTCCCGCCAAAGCGACATCATATCCTACATCAAGTTCTATTCTAATCGTGCGAAGTCGTGTCATAGTTATCGGAGCATCATCCAAGTGGAGTGAGACTAACAATTATTTCCATAGCTTTGGTTGGTGGAGTTTTCATGGTTCCTGTTATGTTGAGACATGCTGTTCTCTGTATTTGTTCTAGTTTCCAGAATGTTTTTAAAATTTTGGTTTTCAGTACTCAGGCGACTGCACCATGTTTTAGTATAGATCTTGTGATATATCCATATGATCTCGTTGTCAGATGTGAAACCTAAGTACTTCAAAGTCTAGTTTTGGGTTTAGAAGCTCTAAAGATTTTATTTCTATTACAATCTTTTTTATAATAGTTAATTAAACAAAATCAATATTCAAATGGCAAAAATACCTATTTAATTTTATTTGCAGGCTCATCAGGAGGATCCCGTTCCCGTGTCGCTGCTAGTTCCTATTGTAAGTTCTTATTGTTCTTCTAATATCAAATAAACATTTATTTAAACTGTATCTAGAATAATTATTGTCATCATACTCGTCATACTCTTTTTCTAAATAAAATTTCGCGTTACGTTTAAATATCGATAATTTTTTGAAATTACAACTCGCGCTAGAAATTTTCGACATTCGTGACATTTCAGATACTGGATAAACATCAGAATTATCAAGTTTGGGCAGGATCTACGACAATTCATCGCCCGACAATTCATCGCGCGAAACTTCAGAGCCGACATTTCATCGTAAGACGATTCACCGCTACATTTCACCGCCACGACAATTTGTCGCCAGCCATTTTTTAGAATTCATTTTATGGTTTATTTTATTTTTTTTATTATAATCAAAATTTTATTTTATATATTTTTTAGTATAGGTAATAAAAAACAAGTAGGTATATTGAAAAGAAATATATTATAAAAAATTGTAGTTGCTAGTTATTACATTTTAAATTGAATTAATATAATATAATAATATTAAATAATTTAGACTTGCATTCAAAAATTATGTGCAATTCCTCGAAGATATTCCATGGTATTACGAGCATCGTAGGATTCTGTAAGTAGTTTTAAACGACGTGCAGAATCTTTGTAAATTTTTTTTTGTGTAATTTCATTACCTGCCACAATTTGCTCTATTTTCAATTTGTTAAGGCTTTCCTCCTTTTGTAAAGCCTTAATTAGCCTCCAAATGTTGGGATGTGCAATGGAAACAATTGAACTGAAACTGTTATGCCATCCTTCAACTGCATTATTGGTTCTAGCAATTCCCTCTCTGGCTGCATTGTAACAATTCCAAGAAGATATAGGAAATTTTGGTAACCGTCTTCTTCCTCTTCTGTCTAATCTACCAATCCACGTGTCTTCAAAATAGTTTATTAAATCTGCTAAGTCCTCGTTTACTGCATAGAATTCACTTTCCAATAATAAATCAAAAGCACTCTCTACATCGTCTTCAGGAACATAAGCAAGTGCAGCCAGAAGTCGCAAATTTGATGAAAACACTTCTTCATCCACATATTCATCGTTGCTTTTTCGAAATCCATTAAAAAAGATGTAGGGCAAAGTTCAGGTTTCAAATTTTTTAATGCTGCATATAAACGTCTATAGCTTTCTTCTCTTTTATTCGGCAGAATTGCATATACTGTTGGAATGGTATTTGAATATTTGACGCCATGGATTGTATATATTTGGGAAAACATATTAGGGGCTGTTGAAAAAGTTCCACCTCCGTACCGGTGTTCACACTCCAACATGTATCAAGATTTCTTGCTGTTGTAAACACTAATATTCGATCTTCTGATGGGCCGCTGTCGTACATTAAAAATAACTGACCACTGCTTGTCAGTGTATATTCCTGTGGAATAACTAATTGAAGCAGAGAATTTGGAATCGCAGGAATTCCTTCTGTCTTTTCCTTTTTTCGTTTAATAGTCCTTTTTTGGGGGGTGGGTTGGCTCAGTGGTTAGAGTCATGACTTTGAGATCGGAAGGTCTCAGGATCGAATCCCACCGTTGGCCGGAATTTTTTCATTTAATTTCATTATTTAAAATTAATTCTGATGCCTTGGTAGGATTCCCCACTCGACCATTCACTGTTGGGTTCTAATTAACAGTGCTGTTCCTAAAGTGGCGCTGGGAAACAGTAACAAAGCCTACACAGAACACGAGGCTAATGGCCGTAGTAGTCGACGCCGATGACACCAATTAAAAAAAAAAAAAAAAAAAAAAATAGTCCTTTTCATTGCACTCACTTGTGGTAATCTGGCTGCAGCCGATGACGATAAACCCTCGGAAACCTTTGCAATGATTTGTTGAGTAGTGGAACCTCTTTGTTCAGCTAAAACTTTCATTTTTTTAACAGCACTTCTTACTTCGGCATCAGCACTATCTGACACATGATTATGTTCGGTACTCTTCACAATTTCATCGCCTATGGTATGAATGCGACCGGTACATCTCCATTTATGATATAGAGAACATTTCCAAATACCTTTTTCTCCAGAAATTTTTTCTCTAGAATGTGTATGGCCATTGTATAAAAGCATTTTGTGACCTCTTTCGCTGTCAACAAATTGTAACGGCATTTTCAAATTTTACAATGATGTAAACTCGTACAAAGACAAAATAAGAATGATTACAGTTCGTTGGTTTTTCTTATTTAAACCTTATATACATATATTATAAACAGGGCATCTAAAATACTAACTTACACAAACAAGCTATTGAAGATAATCCTTTTTAGAATTAAATATTGATTGCACTATGAATTTCTCCTTGAAAGGATTAATAAAGGATAATTATAATTCTCTATTATTAATAAAATAATAATTACTGTGGTAACTTACCCGAATTGGCTAATGAAGATAATCCTTTTTAAATAGTAGGTAAAGGACTGTTGAGAACCTGCGACTGCCGCTTATACACTTTAAATTGGCTTATCAATAATACATTATTGATATTTATTATATTTTTCTTAGTAAAAACTACTTGATTAGCAGAAAAAAGTAAATCATATTTTTGTGTAAATTAGAGTAAGATATTTTGTAATTTTTTCGAAAAAATAATTTTATTTGGTACTTATTAGAAAAATTCAATATAGCACAAAAAAAAATGTTTGTTTTTCAGACATACTGTATAAATCATAGATACAATACGATATTTTTGTGGCGATGAATTGTCGTAGCAATAAACTGTCGTAGCGATGAAAAGTCGTGGCGATGAATTGTCGGCTCTGAAAGGTCGCGCGATAAATTGTCGCGCGACGAATTGACTGGATACCGTTTGGGCATCTTTACATGCTCTCGTTACTACCTATTTCGTTAACTTTTTTTTTGTTAATGGCAGTCTCATACTGAATTTACTAGTATCACTAATCTCAAACTCGTGTAAACGTTTACGTTTTTGATATCGCTTACACTTTTCGCTAGGTTTTAAACATCCAAAATGCATAGTTGCAAAATAAGCTCGCCCTTCTATCTATTGTATTTACCAAAGTGTTCACGTCGAAAATTTCAGTAAATGAACTCTCACTTCGCATCTTAGGTCCGTATTTATAAACAGAACTTGGGTAAATCGTTCTTGAACTAAAATCGAAGATCGGTTACAACGTCTCTAAAGATATTACCAAATCTGTAACTGTTACACATACTTTGATTTTCTTTTACTATACGGAGAATGGTCGCACTGCGCAGCTTTCTGAGTGCCTTTTAAAAGGAGATAGAAAACTCCGCCATTTTGAACCCTTATTACGTGTTGCCTACATCTTGGCGCAATATTTTTAATAGGTGCGTTTTAATCATCCGCTTCTGCTTTGGAATTGTCGGTTTTCTTGTTTTAATCTGACAGGTTAGAACGACTGAACCGACAATTCTGGAAACAGAAGCGGATGATTAAAACGCACCTGATATTTTGCTTGCTGCTGTCAGTGTCAGTGAATATTATTTTTGAAGTCACAGTTTATTGCTAAAGAATCAGTTAGCTCACTCGGACCAGTTGAAAGTTCCAAAATAACATCCACTCCAGGGATACAAATTCAGGATACGCAGAAGACTGCTGTTTTATTATAGGCGGTTGTCATATATTGTATTATCCGAGTTGCACAGTGTATAAACTAAAACATTGAAATCCAAAGTGCCGACGCAGAGTGAGCGATCTGATTCTTTAGCTGTAAACTGTGTCACAGAGTTCAAAATGGCCGCGCCCAATGTTGGGCGCATGTTGGGCGTGTCGGACCTCTCTCTTGCCTCGTATAGTAATCAAAGTATGTGGAGCACATACTTTGATTCAAAGTATGTGGCTGGGAGCCTCGATTTAAATTGTTCTAACCTAAAATATATTGCGTCATTCGATAACACCACCGTCAGAGATAAGGGAGATAAAGATAGGAAACGCTCATAAGAAGCCAATGCTTAATAACGACCAGCTTTACCGCAGTTAACATCTGACCCACTATGTGGCGCTTTCATCGATATCAAACAACGCAGCGGGAAATTTAAAAATCTGATAAAAAAGGTTGTATAATAGTCTGTTCCAACAACGATCAGAAACCATTCACTGATACCAGGATTCTGCGCAGTAGATTATTGGGACCGCCAAATTATCTACTGCGCAGAATCCTGGTATCAGCGGGAACAGACCCTAAATATCGACTGCACTCTCATGTTCTTGTAAATAAATTTAAACAATGTAATTACGCTAAATTGTTTATTAAAAAGAATACTACACTTACAGTCTATTATCGACTAATTATTGTAAATCTATTCATGAAAAATATTTTTTAATTTTTGATCGTTATTTGTAACATTATATTTTTGTTCTTATTTTCCAAACGAACGGCCAAAAGTGTCTTATATAAAAATGTTGAGTGCAAACTCTTCCTATACTAAATCTTCTTTCTAACGTTTTGAAGCCATTTTCTTGTTCTAAAACAATAAATAATAAATAAGTGCCTACTTTGTAACAAAAGTTGGTTATTATTTGTGTTACTTTCATGACTAGATCTTACTTTGGTTAATTAAAGAACGCCACATTGGGTTTGTTAAATTTAATCATGTGGCATGTGTTACTAATGCAATACTTTTTCTGACTTATTGTAATGTTACAAAATATAATTATTGTCCTCAAATTTCACATCAAAACACCCACAACCATTTCGCTTAGTTCATGTAGAGGATAACACAATCATGAACTCAAAATTTAAAATTTAAATTCAGGCTTTTTCGATATACATAAAACTAACTGACATTTATATTAACAAACTGTCCACTGCTGTCCACGTCTACTGTCTCTCTCAGTGTTGCCAACCGTACGATTTAAATCGCATTTATACGATTTTTTAACTCTCTGTACGATGTACGATTGCATCAGTGTGATCGTACGTAAAAAAACGATCTTCCCTTTTTAGTAGGTTTATTTAAATATCTACAACAACTTCAGAACATAGAACAATAAAAATCAAAAACTACTTGCAAATATTCATACGCCGTTAATAATTTCTGAAGGCAGTAATTTTCGTTCTCACTTATCGTGATTTTGACTATGGTGATTTTGTACTAACACCGACTATCACGGCATTAAAAAAGCTTGCATGCAAAATTTTAATCACTTTCAAGTGATAGTCATTGATTACTTTAAATGTATTAATTTAAAATTTCATGTATTTTCTTTACCTATTGTGCGATTTTTTTATCGAAATACCATTTTTCTACTCTACTTTTACGATCTCTCAAAAAAAATATGTGTCAACACTGCTCTGTCTACAAACGACGTATACTTTTAGTTAACATCTGAGATGCATAGATGACGCCATCGTTGCTGCGGTCGTTGCGTTTCCTATATTTATGTCCCTAATCTCTGACCACCGTCTTCTGAACTTGAACAAGAACTCGTAACTTTGTCCCATGTATGAACATAAACATTTCCAATCTTAACAGAGTTAGAAAAAACTTTTGTAATTATTAAATTGCTGCTAGGAGTCCTCAATCATCAATGACACGAACTATGACTTCTCTTATATTATTATTTAGACGTCTGGTCGATCTTCTTGAAAAATTCTTTGATTTTCATTTTCTGTTTTTTAAACATGTTCTATATTTTTTTATTTTTCTTTTTACAGCTGGTGCATATCCTAGATCTGGTGGATTCTCACCTCACGTTAGTAAGTACATATTTTATTCTCTATTTACAACAGATTTGTTTTAGCACAATACATTTGTTTCAGTACAAAACATTTGTTTCAGCAATCTAATAATTTTTATTTTCCTATAATTAAAAGTTTGTTGCTCTAGTTACTCTAGTTGCCTTCTTCTTGCAGTCCTTACTCTGTCCAGTTGTAGGCGGGATTATCGACTGTCAAATGTATTTGACAAAAAATAAACCAAAATAGAACACTTATTTAAAATGTCATCAAAACTAACGGAATCCAATAAGTAATTTAAATTTAATTTATTTTTATTCGAATGTGTCAAAAAACGTCGTTTTTTCGGACATAAAACATAGTCGAAAAGTAGAACTTTTATATTATATGCTTCATAAAGTACCTTATCAGCCATGGCCTCTAAAGTTAAGTGTATAAAGTATTGTATACCAATTAGAATTCTCAAATCTGAGGTAGGTTCTTTCATTTACCATTTTTGATTTTTTTGGAATCAACTTCAAAGGCGCCAAATTTGCCGGGTCTCTAATTTCTGGGGGCTTGTCCATAATGAATTCTTCGTCACCTCATTTTTGTGATTTTTTTTGGCACCAATTTTTAAAAACTAAATAATTAAATTATTTTGACATGAGCACAGTAACACGAAAGAAATTGTTCAATTGTTCTCATATGCATGAAACACGGACGAAAAGTGTTTTTTCGGACCCCTATAAGTTGACAGGCTGGACTACGTCTCGCCTGTAAAACTTTTCGTAGTCGTCCGAAAAATTCAACTTTTCGTACTTGTAACATAAACTACTATTTAAGGACTGTAGAAGTTTTTTTCTTTAATAATTTTATGTGTATATACTAAAGAAGAGTTATTTTTTTAGGCTACTTTGCACCACAGCGCCACTTTGCACTACAGCACCACTATGCGCCACGGCCGACTGTTGCCTATAATGCAATGCGTAAGTTTTAACAAAAGTGATAAAAAAAAATAGAAAGATCTTATAATAGTAGTTTGTATAACAAAAGTGAATATGATGGCCATACGGACAATCCACTCAAGTTGTGCAGTATATTTTTCCCAATAACGAAAATTTACAAAATTTTAAAAATAAATTTAGAGCTTATTGAGATAAAACAATAATTTGAGGTAATTAACACAAAAATTCAGTTTATGATTTCTAATAAAATAAATCTGAAAAAAAATTGGCTTGAGCCGGGTTTGAATCCCGATTCTTGGATCGGGAACGCTTCACTCAAACTTTTATATTTTTTAAGGCTTAACATTTATGAATAATTTAATTACTTTTTGATGGTTTTATTAAAATTTACAATTACTTTGCAAAAATTAATAAATATCTAGTGGATTGCTATTATTTATCAAATACTATAATAATAATAGTACTCTCCCTATTTCACCCCCTTACGAGTTAATTTTAACCCCAAAAGCTTAGCTTGTCCTATTATTATTTGCCGTTGCACTCCTGGGCGACTTCAAGATGATTGATGATGCCATTTGATTTACAGGTGAGGAAAACCCCACTCACCATCATCAAAACGGTAATGCATGTTGATTTTTATAATCTGTATGTAATATCAACATAAATTAAATTTCTGCTAATACGGCATATCCAAATCCCAATCCTATGGAGAATCATGCAAATAAATTCACATGGTCTTCTGTATCATAAAATTGCTCGCAAATGAATGCGTGCGCGTAAGACACCTACGCCACCGAATCGATAGAATAACTCATAAGAGTCATCCATTTTTAATTATATATGGTCTCGATAACTAAAGAATATACTGACAATTAGTTTAACAACATTGTCACTTATTTAAAACTTCAAAATTTAAAACTTTTTATAAAAAAATAATAGTAGATCGGTCCCCAAATATGAACAGTAATTGTTGGATGTCAAATTTCTACAGTGGCCTTAAATTATTTCTGTTCAATAGTTGGATATGGCCTACTTATTCGTTCAGTAGTCTGTCCATAAAATATATAAATGTGGGCGTAGAAAAAATATTAATCCAAGCACTTTTTAATTCTAATTTAGTTCATTTCTGTTTAAGCTCTCTATGTTCATCATGATATGGTGGCTGTGCCATCTACGATCAAACCAAAATCACCACCTAAACTTGAAGATTCTTTACATTGGCTTGCATCTGTCATAAGTGCCAATAGAACTCTTACTCTACCAACCGGTAAGTTTAATTTATTGCTTTTTTAAATACCTATTATTTCTTTTTAAACAAAAACGTTTAAACACATCGAATACTAATTTCGACAGTTAATTGATTTTTGTATTATTTTATAGGCGTTTTCGAAATAGGAGAGTCCTCCCTAAATCTTCCGACTAGTGATAAATGTCCTAAAAATCCACAAGGAGGCGAAGGTACCTGTACGCTCATTAAAGACTGTCCTGAAGTTTTTACTCTTTTGACTGATTTTGACACATACAAACAATACTTCTGTCCCGTACAAAACAAGTTTGCTGGTGTATGTTGCCCAAAGAAGAAGATAAGCTGAATGGTCCAAAACATGTTTGTGTAAATGTTAATTTATATTATTTAAAATAAAGATTTAAAATTTTAATCTGAATGTTATTAATTCTATACAGATAATTCTATACAGATACTTCACAGATGATATTCATTTGAAATCAAATAATTGTAGGAGTTATTTATATTCTATAGTAGCAACTACATAAGATTCACGATTCAAGTAATGTTAAAAGTAAAATATAAGCAAATGTAGTACCTATATTATTTTCTATAGGGTTACTAATTTTTTGTACTATATAGTAATCTATTCAAAACAGCAGCTCGTTCAAAAATTGAAATCGGTTATTCAATTTTTCCTAAGCCAGTGGAACCCATAATGACATATCCTACCATAGTGAACCAAAACGAATATATTTAGGATGTCCATTCACAGTGATCTAAGGTAAAAGTTGAATTAACTTCCAGAAGAGAGCGTCAGTGTTCGCGTATCATATGTTCCTTGTGTATATTAAGTTGCCTACCTTTAGTTATATTTATTTTACTTTTTGTTACTATTTTGAACTGTCAGCACATATAAATTAATGTTATGCTTCCATTGTCCACTTATTGAAGTAATTATGTAAATAATATGCTGGTCAGATAGTAGCTGTAGATAAATAAACGGTAGATCGCTCCAAAAAAACCGCGTGACTGTCAGATGTCACGTGCTTTTGAGGTTGTCAAATTTGTGTATACAGTGTGTACCATTAAAAGCAGATTTTACATAGGGAGTGGCTTTATTACTACCTCAAGTAAATAAAAATATGAATTTTTAATGGCACACTCTTACTTTTAAATATATCAAAATTGAGTCGGTAAGAATTACTGACGATATTTCGCATACATGCAAGTGAGTTAAGTGGACTTTTCGTAAACAGATTGAGCTATTTTTATTGCTTACTTTAATTGACTTGCGGTTTATATTTATTGTGTTAACCCGTACTACTGGTCGTTCGTTTTGCATGAAGTTTGCGAACAGTTGTCGAAAAACAACCTGGCGAGTGCGTGAGCTTTCGTCCAAAAAAATCGAAAAGGGCGTTCAACTATACGCTGTACGGTTCGGGGATCGATTAGTTGTGCTTTGAAAATATTCAATGTTTGTGTGGAAAGTGCATTTTTTAGGTTACCATTCTTAAATCTTTGGAGCCGTGTAAGTAAACACGCACATCCCTTAATTGAAATATACCTAATATTATTACTACGAGTTTATTAAAAACCATGAAATTCATCTTACCCTGACAATCATTCATAAAAAAATAAAATATTGTTGAGGTTAGAAACTCCCAAAGGGTATGATTAAGTAATCTACAGACATACTAGCAAATATGTGAATGAAAATAAAGTTAATAGGAACTGTCTTTGGTCACTTTTTGTTTGAAAATTATACCTACCTTATATAGTGCAGAACTTACCTTCCCTCTTTTTAGCAGAAATAACAGGCACAAATATTTTTGTCTCTTTTAAATATGACAAAATTGAGCATTTCTAGTTAATTGCAAATGTCTGTAAATTACTTACTTAGTTCTCTAGGTAATACCTAATTAAGAACATAAAGATTATGCCTGTTGCACCTATATGGAGCTCTACAGATCTTGATAATATTGCAATACCTACCTGAAAAAAGATTAAAAGAAGATAAGAAGATTATTGATATGGTGCAAATCCTCATATGATCTGCATGTTGTACAAAATGTGGTTAATTTTAAAATACAAAGGTTATTATTTAATAAATTATGATAACTTTTGTGTGCCAAAGATTTAAAGCTTTATTATTCTTAATATAGAAGTTTAAAAATATAATAACTATCTAGATTTATTTTTACAACTGATGCAAAACAATTTTACGAGTACTAAAAGTGTTATTCTGTGTGTTTACTATGTATGGTTTATTTCTCCCCTATTATTTGGTTAAAATATTTATCATTTATCATTTATATCAATAATAGAAATTCTATAATATTTACCTATGTTTTCTTGATTAGGTATCCTACTTATGTTTTATTAATCCTTTTTTTTTTTTCAAGAAAATCCATATAAGTACCCAATACCTAATGATAATTCTGTAGTAATTATTTAAAACTGGATACTTAGTTAGGTACTTGAAAAGAACGAAAATGCACATGAGTAATCTTTACCCTTTTTTTTTTAGCTGTCCTTACTTAAGTAAATATATTTCAAAAAATCTTGTTCGCACTTACATCCAATAATCAATTCCATTCAGTATTATTAGTTAACTTAGATAATTTAAAGGTGATCAATCTTTCTCCTTTAGGGAAGACAGTCCTTCTTTTGTAGGCCATGTCCTTCCTCGAAAAGAGTTCTCCTACCTGTCCTCCTTTTTGATATTTTAAAAGTAATCTGTTAATCTATATGTATGTCGATACTCTACCTTCAGCACTTACTGTAAAATTCAATATAAAGGATATTTCTTGCTCCAAAATTTCCAATATACCTCTACTTATTGTTAGAAAATTATATATTGCCAAAAAATATTAATTCATTGGAAAAATACTCCTTAAATTAAATAATTAAATTGATTTAAGCATATTTAGTTTATTTTTGTTGGAATTAAGAAAATGTTTCATTTATTTCCTTTGTACTTTTTTCTTAATTTTTTTTTATCCTCCTTTTCATTATAAAAAAGTGGTTACCTTAATCCATGGATTAAATTATGATATTATCCACTGGCTAAAGTATATTTTTAAATACTTATCATACAGTGATGACCTACCTTAATGAAGGTAAATTTAATCAGGTTTTGTATCTCTTAAAAAATATATTTGACCAAGTATTTATTTGATTTTCTTTATAGAACAACAAATTTTTTATTGAATGATTGCCAGGTTTTCAAAGTGTTTTTCATGGTTTTTTCCAATGTGATATAGTGAGTAGGGAATAGGTCCCTACTTATCAAAAAAGTACTTAAAAACTTTTAACAAATAGAGGTATAGGTACATATTTTTCTTTCTACTTACCTACTTACCTTTTTTGTGTTTGGCTAAAGAAAAAATATGTATAAGTAGGTAGGTAAAAATTTAAATTTAGATTTTTTTAACCATTTTCTAAAATTTTTTAAATGGACAAAAAACTAGGTATATCAAATTTTAAGGTCATATAGGGAGGTCTAATCACAAATTTAAAATATGATTGGTCTTTGGCTGTATTATACTTAACCCTTTATCATATTTTCAGTTATTTAGGTAACTTTTCCATTATAATTTTGGTAGATAAAATAAGTAGGTAGGTACTTAGGTATTTAAATTCTTTTAATGTGTAAAAAAGAATAAATGTCATACTTTTTAAAAAGGAGGACTGATAAATCTGTAGGTCAGTAGGATTATGGTACTATTAAAGTACGGCCATCTTAAGACAAAAATGGTTTTGTTATTCCCTCGGTTTTTCCATAATATTGTTACAAAAAAATAAATAAAAATACTATTCAATAAGTTGAAGTACTTATGTAATTTTAAACAACATATGCATCTACTTATTGTGTGATTCTTTTTTACATTTTTTTATAAAAGTGGAAGACATTATTTACTTTTGGCCATCAGTCCCCCACTAGCTCTTTACTTATGGACACTAATTTTTAAGTTAGGTACATTTTTAAAGGACAAGTGGTTTTTGCCATGGGGGTTGATATAGGTATGGGTCTTTAGCTGTGGAAGGTACAGGAAATCCTCGAAAAGACCTTCGATTCAAGGAAGGTGTAGTAACAATTTCTGAATCATGATGTAATTCCACTCTAGACTCGTCCTGCATATTTGTATTGTCATCTTCGTCAGGAGAATTTTGAGTATGGGGAATGACATTTGTAATTGATAGACAGATTTTATACAGACTATACTTTATACAACTCAGATGCTGTTTCAGCCTCAGTTTCAGCACCTTCCCAATCTTTTTGTTAGTGTAAACTGCTCCAGCATATTTACATCAAGCTTATTAGATAAAAAACAAAATAACTTCCTAACCCACAAAATAACTGCAGTGGCCATAACTCACGAATTCTTAATTTGTAGTCATTACTAATGGCCACCCATATTTATTTTTAGTTAAAAAATGTTGCTGAAAACAAAATAACACTGGGTCTTAACATCTACTTACCTCTGGAATTACAAATATTCAAAAATATCTTTAATAAATCTGATTTTTGTCCATATGTTTACAGATAAATTCTAGGCCAAAACAACAAGTAATGGCATGACTTGCACATGCTAACTACTGAGGTACCTATATATTTTACTGATTTATAGTGGCCTTGGTTTATTAATTGCAAATCTACCCAATTATATTGCCACTTGCCCCATACTCATTTAACTCCTCTAACCACCACTTTTATTTACATTGTTAATAACCGCTTATTTTTAGTCCTTAAAGGTACCATTTAGGAACGCGAGATCGAGTAAGGCGACAGGCGTAAAGCGACAGAGTAAGGCGACCAAAAACAGTCTTTTCACGCCTGAACACATGTAATTAAATGATAAATATTTGGGACAGCGCTACCGATGCTAGAGAGGCACATAACTTTTAACACGGTTGTATTTACTGCCTGTCGCTTGTTGTCTGCTCGGTCTCGCCTTCCCAAAGCAACTATAAGTACTTAGGCTATACTCTGTTTTTAAACTAAGAGGAGCGATTTGAATTTAAGTTGGCAATTCTGTAGCCTTCTGATTGGTCAGATTACAGTCAGTTTCACACATTACTTTTTAGCATGAACATCAGCTAATAATTGATATTGTTGACAGTTCTGACATTTTATAATAGTTATTCAATAAGCAATTGTATTGAAAAATCTACAATTATGGATACTTCTACTATTAAAGGTAGCAATTCCTGAAAAGCCTTACAAGAAAGGGAAGATACCTTATTATTTTACATGCTGATTCTGAAGGTTTTGTAGAAAATGCATTATTGGTTTTTGAAGGTAAAAAGATGGGAGAGTACCATGAAGAGATGAATTCCAAAGTATTTTAGAAAAAAATAATT